ACGACAACACACGTCTACATGTGACACGTCTGACGCAACTCAAGATTATGGAATCGGGTTGGGAAGTTCTCTCCCACCCACCATATTCTCCAGATATGGCACTGTTACGACAGTGGAAGTCACGCGACGCTAGGAGCATGCGCGCTGGAGTTTCTAAAAGAATCATGAATTATCGAGAAACCCCGCGAATGTTTGATTGTTTGCCAGGCGCCCCCTTTTTTAGTATATGAGCCCGACAAATAAAGCCAGCGACAGATAGATATGCAGATAAATTGAAGATAGAGATAATTGAGTCAAGCGAACAGTAGGCACCGTAAGTAAAGCGTGTGAATCACTATGATTTATAGCGTGTGTTATAAAATAAGTTAGGTTTAACGTACTGATTGGAAATTCTGTGTATTACAAAGTTGTATCGAGGGGAAAATAAACTGGTTTAATTAAGAACGGACTTGTATCGCTGAAGTTCCTCGGAAAGAATTTATACCGGAAATTAACAAACAAGTAGATACGTAACAGCACCATCAGATTACCACCTTTTTTCGTTCGCTGCAACACCATCTAAATGAGAAAACGTATACAAATGTGGAAGGTGTTAAAGAGGACATCCACGTGTTTTTTACTTCAAAGCTAAATTATTTCTTTAATTAGGACATTAACAACCTGATTGTAAGATTGAAAAGCATCATCGATAAGAATGGAGACTATTTCATTTACTAAATGTTTTGTTCTGATATATAAGTTGTTCGGGTTTGTTCATCTAAAAAAAGGCGACATTAATTTCTTGACGACCTAATACAACTAATATACTCTTATAGCATACTATACGAATAACTTTATAATGCTTATTGTGTAAGTATGAAGGGTTACTTAAATATGTGGGATACACTAAGAAATAGTCAACTTCAGAAAAGGGAAATATAAATATAGCATTTTTACTTTACATTTTACTTTTATACCCAAAAATAAGCAATCAAGGCTGTACAAGACAAATACCTGTGAGTATTCTCATGGTCAGGAATAAGTTGTTTTTTACATTTTTAATGTTTAAAATAAAGTAACTAATAGACCTAAAATACTAAGCATGATACTATTTTTTATTCTTCCGTCGATTTAAAATTGGAATTTTTTGTAATGATAATTTAACAACGTAGGGTTAGATTCACCTTTGAAACTGTCCATTCAGATTTAACCAAAGTTCGATTCTTTTAAACCTAGCATAGTACCACGTCCGTTTTAATACAACACTTAAAGTGGAATTCTCTTGTTTCTTTTATTCAGAAGCTACCAAATTCATCACGGTAGAACTGCGGAAGTCCAGCATCACGGAAAGGTTAGGCCTCAGCCTGATGCAAAGAGTGTGAGTATATGCTCACACACCACTTATCTCAAGTTTAAACAGCAAATTAGCCTAGTCATTATTTCTTACGTTGTCTTCCTTTAACTATTTAACTCCTATGGTCAGATTAACATACCCACTGTAGAGAAGTGCAATGTACCACCAGAAAGAAAGGGCATTTCAACTTTTGGAGAAATAATTGACCACTTACTTTTGTTACTCTTTAATGTAAACCTGGCACTGAGAAGGTTGTTTAATACTTCTCCTGTCTCACTAACCTAACAGCAACCAAGCACTTCTCCTGTCTTACTAACCTAGCAGAAACCAAGCACTTCTCCTGTCTCACTTCACCTAACAGCAACCAAGCACTTCTCCTGTCTCACTAACGTAACAGAAACCAAGCACTTCTCCTGTCTCACTTCACAAACAGCAACCAAGCACTTCTTCTGTCTCACTAACCTAGCAGCAACCAAGCACTTCTTCTGTCTAACTAACGTAACAGAAACCAAGCACTTCTCCTGTCTCACTTCACTAACAGCAACCTGAACACCAGTTCAGCACTTACAGTAGCCTGAACAATATTCAAGCATCTCTCTTATCTCACCTCTTTAACACCAACTTGTTTTTCACTACTAAAGACACAGTAACTCCACATTGATTCTAGTTTATTACAATAGGTTAACTCCACATTGATTCTCGTTTATTACAGTATGTTAACTCCACGTTGATTCTAGTTTATTACAATAGGTTAACTCCACATTGATTCTAGTTTATTACAGTAGGTTAACTCCACGTTGATTCTAGTTTATTACAATAGGTTAACTCCACATTGATTCTCGTTTATTACAGTAGGTTAACTCCACATTGATTCTCGTTTATTACAATAGGTTAACTCCACATTGATTCTAGTTTATTACAATAGGTTAACTCCACATTGATTCTAGTTTATTACAGTAGGTTAACTCCACATTGATTCTCGTTTATTACAGTAGGTTAACTCCACATTGATTCTAGTTTATTACAATAGGTTAACTCCACATTGATTCTAGTTTATTACAGTAGGTTAACTCCACATTGATTCTAGTTTATTACATAGGTTAACTCCACATTGATTCTCGTTTATTACAGTAGGTTAACTCCACATTGATTCTCGTTTATTACAGTAGGTTAACTCCACATTGATTCTAATAGAAGAAATAAAACAAACTTTATTGTATTAAAAACAAACTTTCTAATATAAGAAATAAATATATAAATCAAATATTGCAATATTCATAAATAATGTTAACAAAATATTATTTATGTTAACGTTATTTATGAATAAACAATGTTCACAAAATATACACCTGGAAAAAAGTTAAGCATCCCCAAATATTCTTCAGGATTGCTTATTGAAAATAAGGTTTAATTTTCATGATGTTGAGCAATGTTT